TACAAATAAAGCCCCCTGCACCCCCAAGTTTACTGCTCCCTGTTCCGACTATATATAGACACAGATCGCTATGGGTTCGTTTGGATTACCCAGAGTGATCTGGCAAGAAGGAGAGGCAGAATTTGTGTTTCCTACAAAGGTCTGAGACCTACCTGACCTTGCTTCTGGAAATGTCCAGGTTTTGGGGGTTTCTTTTGGGCTTGGGCTTGGGCTTGGGCTTGGGCTTGAGCTTGAGCTGCTCCACAAGTCCCAGCCACTGCCAGCCCAAGGAGGGAAAAACATGCATGGGTGTGGGTGCTCTGTATGCTTTGACCACTGCTAGCCTGAATCAAGGAAAGAGGCACATGGATACAACTGTGGTGGGTCTCTGCGCTCATGCCTACATGCCTCTTTCCCTGGCTCAGGCTGTCCTCTTTTTTGCTCTTCAAGATATGGCAACCCGACATTTATGAGTACCATTAGGCAGTTCTGTCAAGCCATGTGTTCACTCCCCAGAATCTCTCTAAGTGATGCTAGGTCAGGGCATTACACTGTTAAATCCATCCACCTATCCATGGCAAATCCACAATATGGGCAGGGAACAGTCTTGGCATCTGCCCAAGGATGCCAGGCATTGATGCCACTCACAGCATGGAGAGCTATGCTTTGGGCTACACAAGCAACAACACTTGGAGAATTTTAGATCACTAGTAGTTATGAACTAGGTCACCAATGTGCATCTGCACATGTGCCAATGTGCCAACCAATATCTCCTTTGGCACCTGAGAAAGGTCTCAGACAAAAACCCACCTGGGCTGAGAAACAGTTCACTCTTCTGGCTCAATTCTTGCTTCCATTGTCTCAGCCTCTCCTAAATTAAACACACACCTTAAAAAAGAGACAATGCATGTACTTTTGTAAACCAAACCATTTATTTATGGTGTGTGTTTAATAATCTTTAATAATATTTTATTTATTTATTTATTTATTTATTTATTTATTTATTTGGTTATTTTAAAAGGGCCAGGGAAAAACCCATCAGATGTTCCTTCTAATAAAGCATTGGAAAATGAATCAGAAAATAAAGAACCAGTCATTGTAAGTGTGCACATTTCTCCATGTGTCAGGATTGGACACCTACTTCTCTACGTATTCAAAACAGGGGAGGTGCAAAGAGAGCCTCTCTCTGAGAAAGTATAGCAGTTGGCAAGGCCATCTTAAGCATATCCAGCACCGTGGTGCAAAGCTCCCTCCGGCACACACACACCCATTTCCCAGAGTGTTTTAGGCAGGATGGTGCTGCTGGCAGGGCTGGAGGAGGCGGGCAGCGGGGAAGAGGCAGAGGCTGGACGCGGCTCCTCCCAGCTCAGCTGGCCACTTCGTGCCATGGTGGCAATGGCAGACAGAGGCTCTGGGCGCAGCGCTGCTTTGGCGCGGCATGGCAGAGGTGGGTGAGGGTGGTGAGCTGAGTCCAGCCTCTGCCTCTTCCCTGGCACCCTCCAGAACTTAGCACCCTGGCACCCCATGCCACTATCCTCTATGGGTAAGACTCCCCTGGCAGTTGGAAATGTAGATAAGAATAGCTGTTGAGGGTGAAGAACATTGTTTACACTCTTTTTTCAAAACCCCTTTTCGATGTGGCAGTCATTCTGTGTTATGCTATGTACCCGACAGCAGCCACTTTGTGACTGGCACCCACAGCACTTCCTCAACATTCCAAATGTTCCCAATGGCCTCAAAAAATTGGCAACTCCTGCTCCCTCCCCCTGATATAGCTCCACAGACAAGTATCATGGCATGTGTCTTCTGCTTTTCCAGGGAAGCAACAGAGGAGGCCCACCCACCTGAGAAATGTACGATCCTGAAAAGAGCCTGCAGACGCTTTGTGTTTTATGACTTCATTGTAGTGCTGTTGTAATGCCAGATGACACTGATTCACAGTGAACCAGTAAATGAATAAGTAAAGTATTTTGTAAATGTAATGAAGTCCTAAGAAATACGAGATCTTACTGAAGTGAGTTGACTGTTAAATCTGTGTCGGGAAGCTGTCTTCTTCTGCCAGAATCTTGGGGGATAACAGTTATTAGACTGGCAAACTGACAAAGTGGAGAGGAGTCAAAATCTATTACTCAGGTTCTGATTGCTTATAGGTGGGCAACTAGAGGATGTGGGGGGCTGGGAAGTACCCCTATAAATTCTATGTCACTATAAACACTGCAGCTCTGCTGATGCAACAGATGGAGGTCTTCCAATGGGGCACTTTAGTTGGTCCCCCCATGCTCCCTGAGGTGCAGATGGCCTGTACCAGAACCCAAGCCTTTTGCGTGGCTGGTCCTGTGGAACTCCTAGCCAACAGAGGTTCAGGCGGAGCCCATCCCTGCTTCTTCTTAGTCATCTTCTTAAAATGATATTGTTCATACAGGCCTTTCAAACCTGAGATTATTTGATAACCATTTCGTATTGGTGTGTTTGGTGTACTTATTGTAACAGTGTGTTTTTCAGCTGCATACTGCCTTGTGATATTTCATATGAAAGTATAGTTTACAAATATATAAATAAATATAAAGGAATTCTGGAGGGTTGGAGGCACCCCAGAACAGATTTTGGCAGAGACACTGGGGGTGGGGAGGAAATGTGTCAGTGAAACTATGTGCATGGGGCATTGGATATACAGTGGTACCTCGGGTTACATACGCTTCAGGTTACATGCGCTTCAGGTTACAGACTCTGCTAACCCAGAAATAGTGCTTCAGGTTAAGAACTTTGCTTCAGGATAAGAACAGAAATCGTGCTCCGGCGGTGCAGCAGCAGCAGGAGGTCCCATTAGCTAAAGTGGTGCTTCAGGTTAAGAACAGTTTCAGGTTAAGTACGGACCTCTGGAACGAATTAAGTACTTAACCGAGGTACCACTGTATAGCGCATTGTTTTGTGCGCCCATGCACAAGTTGACAGTGTATGGGGAAATTAATAGAGGTAATGGAGTTTAGAGAGAATTTTAGCAAAGGAATTAAGGCAATATATTTGGAACAATTTGCAAATGTTATAGTAAATGATAATCTTACTCAAAAGTGTTTAAAAGGTGCAATACAAGGTTGCCCATTATCACCATTGTTGTTTATATTGGTATTAGATGTATTGACAAGAAGAATAAGAGAGAATTGTAAGAAAAACACTGGGGCCCAATTTGATCAGTAGAATGTTTGGTATCTGGTGGGCGGGGCTTGTGTGTTCTGCTCCAGAATCAGCCCCTCCCTTCAGGGTGTGTTCAGTTAAGAGTGTCAGTTATGAGGGACCAACTGCCTCTTCTTGTCTCTTGCCTCAGACTTGCCTCATGCTATATTTAGCTCCTCATATCATGTTATTTTGTTGTAATTTTCTTTATTACTAAAGCTTAGTTTACATTTACATGAGCGACTTATTTTTCTCAAAGAGAAAGAAACTGCTGAGGAAAGGTGTGGAATGTCCTATACTGCGCGACTGAGGTGATATACCCAGTTTGCCAGGAGGATTGATTTTGTTAATCATCCCCCGCTCTACAACAATTGGGTTATGGGCCCAGTCTGGCAGAGAGAAAAGAAATTATGGCCACGTATATAAAAGCTGTGGAAGCCCTAGAGCCTGCTGTGCCTGTTCTCACTTCAAGTACCGGTAAGTATCCTTTATGGAAATCTAGAGTGGATAATGAGCTGGTGAAGAAGGATTTGTGGGAAACAATTGAAAAATCTGCACCAGCAGAAGAGGCAGAGAAAGTGAAGTGGGAAAAGCACGACAGAAACGCTAGGGCAGACAGTTCAACTCATGTGAGTGACTTACACCACATAAGCAATTTTAAGATTGCCATGGAGTTGTGGCAAGGTCTGAAAGAGTTGTATGAGAGACTGTATTTATCAAGAAAGCTGTTTAGTTTTAAATTGAAAGAAAATGGAGATTTAGAAAAGTCAAATGATAGAGTTGATGGATCATTTAAATTCTATAAGCAAGAAATTTGAAGAAGAGGACAAAGTGATTTTAATTCCGTCAAGTCTGCCTGAAAGTTACAATTCTTTGATATATGCACTAGAGACTAAAGATAAACTTGGCATAAAAGTATGTTGTATCAAGACTTAAAGAGGAGGCTGCTAGGAGAGCAGAAAAGGCAGCAGAGGGTGAAACGCAAGTATTTGCTGTACAAAAGACTGATAAATATAATTTTAAAAATGAAAGTGCTTTTCAAGGTGCAGACAAAAAAGAAACAACTGGATGCTTCTCATGTGAGAAAATGGGACATTTTGCACAGAATTGTACAAAACAAAGTGGCACTAATAAAGATAGGTTCCAGGGTGGTACTATCAGAACTATCTAGTAATCTCAGGTTATAGGAAAACAGATGCTATTAAGAGTAACTCCTCTAGTTGGTTAATTGATTCAGTATCTTCATTGTACATGACGTGTGATGCTAATTTTTTCAGAGAGTTAAATGAAAATGCATCAGAGACAGTTACAGTTGCAAATGGCCACAAAATTTCTGTGCAAGGAAAAGGAGCAGGTTCGGATAAGTGTGTTGAAGGCAGAAAAACTGTTTGTAATGAAGTGAGAGATGTAGTTTACTTGCCAGAATTAACAGACAGTTTGCTGAGTGTGTCAACTCTGACCAAGCATGGTTTTGATGGAAATTTTAATCACAACAGATGTGCAATTACCAAAGATGGAGTTTTGTATGCACAATATTTTGAAAAGAATGGAATCTTTGTGCTAGATATAGGTCAAGAAAGGGTGAATATGGTCAAAAAGAATTCAAGTGCAACCTGTATTCCTCAAAATGCTGGGACATAGAAACTTCAGGATTATTGCAGACCTGCCAAAGAAAGGTTTGGTGAGAGGAATGGAAATTAAACCTTTGTAAAGTTGACCTGAATTAGTGAAGTATGTGAAAGTTGTTTGCTGGAGAACAATACCTTCTTTTCCCTAGCAAAACTAGAGATGCTCAACAGAGCCTTTGCAACTTATTCATACTGATATATATATATGGTCCAATTCAACCGATGTCTCATGGGAAAAATAAGTATATCTTAACATTTATTGACTATTATTCCAGATACTACACAACTTATCTTTTAAAGGACAAATCAGAAACTGTAGAAAAATTGAAGATGTTTGTTGCAAGCGTTAAAAATCAATTCAGAAGGAAGCCGCAAGCAATACTTTCAGACAGCGGTGATGTTAAACATTTGCACACTACCCCATTTACCCCAGAACAAAGTGGAATAGCAGAGAGAAAGAATTGCTCTCTGATGGAGATGGTCAGATGTATGCAGAACAGACTGCCAACAAAAGCTGCAAATAAAGCAGCATTTGAACTTTGGTTTGGAAGAGTACCGAACATCAGTCACATTAGAGTCTTTGGAACAAAAGCTTTTGCATATGTGCCAGCATAAAGACATACCAAACTTAGCACCAGGACTGAGTTAGGAATATTTGTCGGCTTTGAGAAGGGGTGCAAAGGTTACATAATTCTTAATCCAAGGACAGGAGAAGTGAAAGTGAGTAGTGTATTTTAGAGAAGGAGAGCAATCTTGTGCATGTGTTCCTAATCAGAACAATTTTAAAGAGAAACAGACTAATGCTGATTTGGTAACTGAAGAGGTTCCAGTAAAACTGATCACAGAAGTTGAAAGAACAGAGAAAACTAGTCCAAGTAAGATACCGTACTTTACCAGGGGAAACAGAGTCAGGACAAGAAGCTGTGTGTGATGATATGGATGAACAATTAGAACCTTTAATCAGACACTCATCATGAGTTAACAAAGGTGTGCCAGCAGAGCAACTATCATACATCGCAAGAGCAGTGCCTCATTGTGAACCTGACACATGGAAAGAAATCAACAAACTACCTGCAGAAGAAGCTGATAAGTTGATAGAAGCAGACAAGGAAGAAATTGAGCATTGAATAAAACAACACTTGGACACTTACTAAATTGCCAAAGGGTAAAAAGGCTATAGGGTGCAAATGGGTGTTTAAGGAAAAGTTAAATGAGAATGGAAATGTACAAAGTATAAAGCAAGGCTGGTAGCAAAGGATAGACACAAAAATATGTTGAAGATTATGATGAGACATTCACGCCTGTAGTTAAATATAGTACAATTAGAATTTTACTTAGTGTTGCAGCATCCAAGCAACTTGTGTTGAACAACTGGATGTAAAGTCTGCTCTCTTAAATTGGGAAATTGAAGAGGAATTGTATATGATTCAGTCAGAAAGATTTGAAAGAGATGAAGGGCTAGTTTGTAAACTGCGGAAGGGAATGTATGGTTTAAAAAAGGCTGAGAGAGCATGGAATGAAAAGTTAAATAATCTGCTTTTAAAATGAGTTTTTTTAGAAAGTAAAGTAGATCCATGTCTCTATACAAGGCAATGAATTGAAAAAAGAATTATTTTGCTTGTATATTTAGATGATATAATTTTGGTTACAAACAAAAATATACAAGAATTGAACTTCTGGCTTTTTCTACTAAGAGCAACACCCAGACGCGCAGATGCAACTTGTGTTCGCTTCTGGGTGCGAATGGGGCTCCAGAATGGACCCCGTTCGCATCCAGAGGTACCACTGTAGAAATTAAAAGACTAGGAAACGTATCTTATTTTTTGGGCATGCAAGCAGAGAGGGAGGAAGATGGTAGTTTTCTTCTTAATCAAAGGCAGAAAATAATTGACTTAATATAATTTTTTGGTTTGAAAGAAGCACATTCTGTGTCAACTCCAATGTACTAATTTTCTTTCCGGAGAGGTTGAGTGTGAATATTTATGTAATAATGAATTGTACAGAACTGTAATAGGTAAATTATTATTTGTAGCTACTGCATGTAGGCTTGATATTGCCTCAGCAATGGGTATACTATGCAGAAAGGTGAGTTCACCTACCCAAAGAGACTGGACTGTATTGAAAAGTAAGATATTTAAAGGGAAAGGTTGATCTTAAATTAAAATTGTCAGCTGCAAAGGATCCCAAATTAGTGGGATTCTCAGATGCAGACTGGGTTGGAGACAGAGAATGAAGCTGTAAGTTAGGCAAGTCATAAACAAAGTTCAGTAGCTCACTCTTCAGCAACACAGGGTATGTTTCTGCTGCAGAAGTGTGCAAAGAAGCACAATGGCTTAACCAAATTTTAGAGGATTTGGGAATGCCAGATTCTAAGCCCATTAAGCTTATGAAAGACAACCAGAGTTGCCTGAAATTGGTGCAATCAGAGAAGATAAATTGATGTACCAAACATATAGACATAAAGTGTCATGCAAGAAGAGATTTGAGCAAGAAGGGATTTATAGAAATGCAATATTGTCGAACAATAGAAATGACAGCTGACATTTTAACAAAGCGTTTGTCTAAAGAAAGTTTTGAAAAATTACGTGCTAAATTAAATTTGATTAATTCCAATTAGGCTCAGGGAGAGGGGATTGTAAGAAAAACACTGGGGCCCAATTTGATCAGTAGAATGTTTGGTATCTGGTGGACGGGTGTATTCAGTTGAGAGTGTCAGTTATGAGGGACCAACTGCCTCTTGTTTCTTGCCTCAGACTTGCCTCATGTTGTATTTAGCTTCTCTCATGTTATTTTGTTGTAGCTTTATTTTTTATTAAAACTTAGTTTAAGGGAGCCACTTATTTTTCTCAAAGAAAGAGAAACTCTGCTGAAGAAAGGTGTGGAATATCCTCAACGTAGGTGAGTGAAGGGATATTCCCAGTTTGCCAGAAGGATTGATTTTGTTAATCATCCCCACAGCTCCACAACAAGAATAAAGAGGTACAATGAATCCAATTGAGGCAACAAAGTTATAAACTGAAGGCATTTGCAGACAATGTTGTATCAATGTTAGAGAACTCAGGGGGAAATGTACCAAATATAGGGTTGCCATATTTCAAAAAGTGAAAATCTAGAAACTATATATATATATATAAGCTTTTTTGACAAAATCACAAAAAAGTCATTTTTGAACTATGTTTTAGGAAAATCGGCAAAAACTACACAGCCGGCATGGGGTTGCCATATATCTGTATTATTCTGGTCAGTATTCCAGGTATGTCCTGGAAATCCCAGCCGTATGGTAACTCTAAACAAAGGTGTTGGAAATGATAAAACAATATGGGGACTTGGCAGGTTTTTATGTAAATTAGAATAAAACTAAAATGTTAGCTAAGAATATAGACGTGCAAGGAAAATAAGCTTTACAAGAAATAAGCGGAATTAAGGTGGTGAAGACTGTAAAATATGTATTTGGTTAACCACTAACAATCTGCATTTATTTCATGATAATTATGTCAAAGTATAGACTGAAGTAAAAAAAAGATTTTGAAAGATGGGGGAGAATGAAACTCTCTGCAATTAAAACGGATCCTTTTATAAGAGGTCTTTTATAGAGAATGGGGAAATGGGCTTGATCTAGTAGGGTTCTTCTTACATTCTCAAAGCTCAGTCATAGTGCTTATGGTTTGGATGTAGGACACCCTGTCTTCACATCTTGGCATCTCCAGTTAAAAGCATTTGAACTAGAAGGTGACTGGAAAGACCCTTTTCAGCTTGAGCCACAGCATCCAGAGTAGGCCATGCTGAGCAAGATGGAACAATTGGATCATATACAGCAGCTTCCGAATGCATTTTTTTTAAAATAACCAAGTTAAATTTCTTCATGTAAAGGCAAGTCTGAAGAAGGCATTTCTGTCCTATTCATTTCTAAGACATGCCTTTCAAGCACTCAGATTGAAGGCCCTCAGATGAGGAAGGACATCTACTTTGGGCTCAGTGGTAGAGCCCTGTATTCTTTGTATATGGAAAGTCATTGGTCAAATTCCCAGCATCACCAGGTAGGGATGGGAGAGACCCCTGCCTGAAATAACGGAGAGCTGCTGCTTGTGAGTTTAGACAATACTGAGCTAGATCTACTAGGCTGAGTCTAAGGCAGCTTCCTACGTTCATTCCAATATGTGTGTAGCTGCTCCATGTGGCGAGCCAGAGAACTACAAGTTGCTTCGTCTGCATAACATCTTCCTGAATTTTCATGCCCTCTGCCCCTCCCATTACTTAAGTACCTTGAAAGCAAAGGGGAAAATCTGAGCATATTTCAAAAGCCTGGCTGTGCCATGTGTTGGGTGAAGTCAGACTTCATAAAATGATTTTTAAAGGGGAAACCTTAGCTTCTTGAAATGCCACCTATGTTCACCGTAATTTCAGAATCCTCCTTGCTGGGAGGGGATGGTTCTTGGTATGGCATTTCAAAGCACTGCCTGTTCAGCAAGGGCATTCATTGCAAGCACACCTGAGACTCACCATTTCCTATTTTTAAATGAATATGAAAGGGGATAGCAGTACAGTTCAAGGTGATGGACTGGGCCATTAGCAGAGGGGATCCATTTACACTCAGCAAAACACTCCTGTAAAGGATTTACCTGCTAGCAAAAAGTGTTAACTTATCACTTGCTTGAAAAGGCATAAGCAGAACTACAGAGAATCTCCAGGATTCCAAATGACCTTGGGCTGGTTTCTAACTTGATCTGAAACTGAAAACAGACTGTTGATGCCAGCAGTACTAGGTGGCCAATTTCTGAAAACAGTTCCTCATTTATATCTCACTAGTCTAGGGGTTAGCCAATTTTTCATCATAAGGACCCTGTGAAGAAGGCTTCCAATGCATTTCTGTGGACAGCTTAGAAGTGTGGATATTTACTAAGTTCAAAATGAAAATGGTCACAGCTATTATTTTTGTGATTTTCAAAGGAGGGATTCAGGCTCCTGAATATGGGAAAGGTTCACTGAGGGTTTTGTTTTTATTTTTTGGTGGTGGGACGGTAGCAAGCTGCTAGTTGCCCAACAGGCAACAGTTCATCCTTGTCCTGGGATTAATGTAGATGTATAAAATGACCTCCCCTGCAGGATCAGACTAATCAGGGAGACCTATAGCTCAGTGGTAGATCACTTGCTGTTACACACAAAAGGTCTCATGCTCAATCCCAGGCTCAATCCCCAGTTTCTCTGGATCTCAGGTAACAGGTGATGGGAAAAGTCTCAGACTCAGACTCTGGAGAATCTTTATCAGTGAAGAGTAGACAGTGCTACTGAAGAACTAGAGTGGTGCAGTGGTTAGAGCATTGGATTAGGATCTGAAAGACCAAGGTTCAAATTCCCACTCAGCCATGAAACACACTGAGTGACCTTGGATCCATGGGCATAGCCAAGGGGGGGCAGGGGCAGCTGCCCCCCCTAAAATCAATAAAAATAAATAAAAATACATTGTAAACTGAGGATTGCCCCCCCCCCCGAAGGCCTGTCCCCCCAAGGCCTACCCCCCTAACAAAAATCCTCACTACGCCCATGCTTGGATCTGCCATGGGTTCTCAGCACTGCCTACTATTGAACAGGATTGTTGTGAGAACAAAATAAGGACT